TCTTTACCAGAAACATATGAGGAGCCACATGGGTTGGGTGGGATGGGGACCTTCTAAGCTCATGACACAGGAGCCAGCCCCCTGCTAGCATGAACTCCATCCAGCCCTTCTCTGGGCTGCAGTGCACCCTTGCTTTCAGTGAGGAGCATGCTGGGCTCACACAGAGCTTTAAAAATATCTCTCCACCCACTGAAAGTTTGATTAATCAGCCAAGTTCTCACCCATGTGTCACAGTAGTGGCAGTGACATATATGATAGTGACATGAGGGTGCAGGGAAGGCACAAATGGTCTTATCTATCAGGGTTCAGAGCCAAAAAGTTAAAAAGCATGGGCTCTGAAGCCAGGTGGCAGTTTGCAACCCTGTTCAACACATGCTAATTATATAACCTTGCACAAGATTATTTAACATCTTCATTGTCCACATTTGCATAAAGAGGGTTCATAACAGTACCCCCCTTAGGATTATTGAAAAGGATAAAACCACATATTCACATAAAACATTTGAACAATTCCTAGCACATAGTAAGTACTCAATAAACTGCAGCTGTGATGATCTGATAATGTAACAACAGGTGAATAGCTGTTCCCCAGAAGACAGAACACTACTGACAGAGAGGCAGAGAAGAAAGGTAGAGAAACAGCAGAGATCTTGAGGCAGCAGAGAACCATCTGGAAGGCATGCAGGAAGTCAAAGCAGACAAAAAGAAAGGTCCAGGCCATATGGGAGTCCATATGCGTTGTTACCATTTTGCTTTAGCTAACACAGCTGAACTCTGTGGAGAGCCGTTTAAGAATCATCAGCAAAAGTGAGGTGTTAAAGGGTAAAGTGCTGCGACGGGTGAAAATTACTTTTAACTGGTTCAGGTAAAAGAACAAAATAAAATTATTAATAATAGACTTCTGCTATGACAAAGTAAATGGTACAAGAATAACCCTGCCATTGTGCACAACAACCATAAAACTGAAGAAAATACATAAAGCAGCAGTTTTGGGGCAGAAAACAATAGAAAGCACAGGATTGCATTTGCAGTGACAAAGGGGACTCAAACGGAGGTGCTCTGCCTGGGGAAATTTCCCAACCACAGTTTGTGCTTTGGGGTGGCTTGAAGGGGCTAGAATCTGTGGGGTTAGCTAGCAGAGAGAAGGAAACTATGTGGAAAGTGGGCCCCAGAAGCCTGTGGTGTGTGGGTTTCCTATAAATATTTGGCTGAAGGCTGGGCTACCTGTGTACAAATTGAGATTAAATCAAGGCTTACCAGGAAGCAGCTGCCATGAGATTGAGAACAGAAAACACATACTAGAATTTAAGCAGCACTAGGAACTGTCTGAAAACCTCACTAGTAACCCCAGGCATCCAGCTGAGGCCTTGGAAGACCACCTCTTCAAAGTACCAAACACACTCTGGAGGCCAGCTTTAGATCCCACCTGCCCAAAACCTAACACCAAGCCCTGACAAGATCCACAACGAAGACAGTCTGGAGGCTCAGAGTCTGCCAAGTTAGGGGGACTTGGGAGACACCTTGGGATGTCTACAGCTCCACCCAAAATTACACAAGTTGAAGGTTGTCAGCTAGTAACTCAACTGCCTACTAGAGCACACATCAGCCCTCTTCAAAGGAAGATAACAGAACACAGTCTCTATAACACAGCACTCACAATGTTCAGTCAAATATTAATAGGCATGCAGACAAACAAGAAAATCTAACCATAATCTAAAGCAAGAAAGACAATAGAAACTAACCCCAAGATGGCCAAAAGCCTAGACATTGGATTTGGTACCAGAAGACTTTAAAGACTATTATGAATACAAGAAAATATGCTGAAAGAATTAAAGAAAAATTTGTTTTAATGAGTAAACTCAGAGTATTTCAGCAGAGAAATGGAAATTATAAAAGAAGAACCAAATTAAAATTCTAAAACTATGAAAACTTGTGCACGTGTGTGTGCATGTGTGTGTGTGTGTGTGTGTGTGTTGGGAGAAAGTCTGAGACAAAAAAAGCAAACATGGCAATATTAATAATTAGATGAGCATGTAGGTGTTTGCTGTCCTGTCCAAAGCCTCTGCAGTGTGAATATTTCTTAAAAGATTAAAGGGGTATTAAATATATATATATATATATATTTCCATATTTGTAAGACAAGAAGAAAAAAAGCAGTAAGCAGAGGGTTAAGCTCATTAGTGTATATGTGAGAAATATCCCTCCCTCATGGTGACATGAACTGGACTGGCTTGTGGCGCTCTCCTAGGCGAGGCCCAAGGAGGTCAGTCCCAGCGACCGGCCCAAGGCAACAGCGGCATGGTCAGACAGGAGGAGTTAGTAAAATAAGCTGAGAGGTCAAGATCTGCAGGTCTTAGCCAGTCATATGTGGAGAATAGGAGGTAAGGAGGAACTGGGAATGACAGCCAGGTTACAGGTGAGGCTGACTGGGCATGCTGGGATATAATTTCCTGAGAAAAACTCAGGGTAGGGGAAGTTCTGAAGAAAAATGAAAATCCATTCTGCTTTGGAGTTCAAGGAAGTCGTGGGATGCCTACAGAGGATGGAGGTAGCAGGTATAAAATTCAGGAGGGAGGCAAGGATTGAAGGTGTCCACCTCAAGGTGGTGACGCCTAGACCCTGCGGGGAGGGTAACAAACCAACCCCAGGAGAACAGTGCAGAAGGAGGAGGCAGAAGGTGAGGCCCATATGCGACGAGTGGTCACAACCAAGAGGTAGAGAAGAAGCAGGAGGAGAACCAGCTTGTGACTGGATGCCAGGGCAGGGACATGTCCATCATTGTTCTGTACCCCAACTCCCTGTGCCACATGCATGGGCAAAGCCTCAGAACCTTGGGCTTCCCCAAGAATCAAGCTGCAGTCCTGTGAACAGATCCGGGCCGCATGCTTTTCATACCACACCTGCCTGCTCTATGCTCTGCACACATCGCACAGGCTGCCCGGGGGCCCCAAGATGCCCGTAATAAAGCCTGAGCAGCCACGACTCAGGATTCACCTTGGCCAGAAGTAAATAAATAAGCAGAAGGACACTTCCATCAGAAAATAAATGGCCCTTGTCAGGCTGAGAGCCTCGATTACCATTGCAAAGGTCTTCACCAGCTGGCCATAAAGGCTGGCTTCTCTGCCCCAGGAACCCTCATGGCCCCCACCGCTCAGCCTGCCCACCTGGCCTTTAGGGCTGTGAGACGCACTCCACTCCGGCTTGCTCACCTGCCCTGCTCCGCTGCCTGGCCAGGGGAAAACAAGCTCCTGAACGTGGCCATTGGTCCCAGGACATGGAGGGTGTTGCTGACTGGTGCTGCACAGGGAGAAGGGCCAGAAATCCAGCTGGCGGTGCTCTTGAAAAGCTGTGCAGCCCAGGGTGGCTCAGATTTAACAGAAAAGGCCAGTGCTCTGAACTGTCTTGGAGAAATCATCTTGATTATTCATGGCAATGTTGGGAGGAAAACTGAAAGCCAGGATATATGAAAGCCTCAGATGATTTCCAAACTTCATTTGGTTAGTAATCTCAGCCTTTTCAAGAGCTGTCCAGAAAGCACCGACTCTCTGCCCTGTTCTCACAGCTCAGTGGGGCTCTTCCCAGGAAGCTTCCATGCCCTCCTGCTAACTGATGCCCTAAACATGGGGGGCCTGAACAAATAAACACAGCCCAGAACAGTGTACCACTGTCCTACTCTCCTTGGAAGTGAACTCCCCAGGTTGGGAAGAGGCTGGGCCTCACCTCGCTTGCCATACACACCCAGCCAGCCTTGGCCTTCTCTGTGGTCACCAAGACAGGCCCACTCCAGAGGCAGTCTGGGCTCCACTGCCAGCTTCTTGTCCTGTGTTTGAATGTCCTCTGGCTCCTGCTATGAAGGTCCCGATCTGCTCTCCTGCCTCCAGTCTCGGTCCAGACCGCAGTGAGCAGCTGCTGGCCCTAAGGAGCCCAGCCTACATGCATCACCCCTACTTCTCTCGTATCTGCCACTTCACCGCTCACTTGTGTAAATATGCAAGCCTTTCGATCAGCAGGCAAACAAAATGTACAAGAGCAGGAAAAGTTATTGGACGACGACAAGCTTGATGTCACTGGCCCAGAGCTGAATCTCCCTACCTTCCCACAGTGGGAAAACGACATGAAGCTTACAACTGTGCACAGAGAGAGCACACCAGTTCAGACCGTGACACTTAAAATCAAATACGTGGGCCATTTGGGGTAATTTTGACTTCTCTATTTTAGAAATCAAATTCAAACTTCATGCTTTAAATGGTGTTACAAGGAACACAGCATTTCAACACACTAGGGAAAACTGGTTTGGCCTCAGCAAATGTAGCACCTCTGCAAATATCTGGCTGATTGAACCTAATTTTCTATTCTAGAAAAAATCCTTCTTCCTCTTTTTAATTTTTTTTTTAATCCAGGAGTTGTTTTGCCCAGGGGGATATGAGCCTTGACCCAGGATGGATGTGGTCATCATGTACCTATATTTGTGATCATCCCAAGCCCTGCCCTGAACACCCAGGACTATACTGCATTGCAAAGGAACAGAGAGGCAATTAAAATAATTGCTGTCCATTCCCACCTAGACACAGCTTCCAGATGATTCTTACCTGGGCAGCATTCAAAGCACCATGGCCACAAGTCAAGAGACAGCCATTAGCAGGGCTTATACCTCCCCTGCAGCTGGGCCCCATCATAAATGACAATATGGAAACACGACAATGCCATTGGTGATAAAGATCCCATAAACTGGAAAATACATCTCGGTAGTTGAAGACTATTCCTCCAGTCAGTATCCAAGGAAACCAAAATAGTCACCATAGATTTTTCAGGTTACAAGGTCTGTCCCTCTCAAAGAAGTCATTTACGCAGAATTTATCTCTGAACTATTTCCTGCCTCACCACACATGGTTAGGTTTGGCCCCGCTGGCGGCCAGAACCTGGCACTTTCACTTTAGAGGCACAATAACTTCAGATGCCCCCTTGGGGGGCTAACCTACCCAACAGGGAAGGCTCCTTACCATCCAGCTCCTCCACAGAGATGTTAGCAAGCTGCTCACTGTCGCTGCCAGCAGAGAGAGATCGGTTGAGGTAATTCCCCTTGTACAACAGGCCAGCGGTCACATGATGGAAAGGCATCTTTTCCCTATTGACAAGAGAAGGGGGCAGGGAGAGAAGACATCATTCATTCCTCCTTTCCTTCCTTAAAGGACCACCCTGGTTTTCAGATGGCCAGTGTTATTTTTTAAATAACAATAACATCTCAGAGAGAAGGTTAGAAGATCCCAAGGTCCCCGGGCCTGAACAGTTCCCAAATGAGCTCAAGTTCTATCCCTCCCTGCACAGTGCATCTGACTTCACTGTCCCCATTTAATTATGAATTTGAACCTTTTTGTCCTTGCAGACTATGGGACACCATGTCATCATCAAGCTGTCTGTCCATGCAAGCAGGAATACTGTCCTTGACCTGAATAAATCCTTTCTCAGTCCTCATAAGAAAAGACCACACATCCTGGAAATGCTGAGCTGCCCAGGAACTAGACGTCATGGCTGTGACCATGCAGAGATCTGAGTGTTTCATTCTACCCAGATAAGGCAGGTATTTCATTGAACAGCACTCAGAGCAGGTAGGAAATGCCAGGCTCTAAGCAAACATGTACAACTGTCTGCCCCTCTGAGGAACAGCCCCCATGCCTGCCCGGGATGCAAATGCCTGCTTGCAGCTTGTGAGCTCACCCCTATGAGGTGCTGCTCACACCTGCCCTGCCATTCAGGACACCTCAGGTGTCCCAGAACAAAGCAGCTTCCAGCATTCCCCCAGGAAATGAAATCACCCCCTTAGACCAGAGCTTCTCTGATAGAAAGGCCACCACTGGGGCTTAGAAGTTCCCAGAAGTGCAAAGCAGGCCAGAGGCTCTAGGATAAGGTGAAAGGGAGGGAAAGAGGTAGTAAGAAGGATGAAAGCAAGCACAGAAGAGAAAGTGGAAAGGCAGTTGGAAAGGTGGGCCTCTCCAGAGCAGAAAGAGCACGGCTCTCCTACAGGGAGTGAGCCACTCTGCTACCCCATCCAGAAGGGGGTAAGAGCTCACTGGAATTGGGGACTAGGTAGTAGTATGAGGAATCAATTATAGGATGTTGGTAAAGAGCACCCCTTACAGAATTCCAGGGAGGTAAAGTGGGCTGCACAGAAAGGGGGAATCTCCCCACTGCTGGGGGCATTCAAGCAGAGCCTAGGGCCTCCCTGCCATAGTTCTGTGAGAAAGAAATGACCCCTGGACTCTCTCCCCATACATCTACCAGTCTCCAAAGAAGTCACTTGTAGAGCCCCTTTCCTTACTAAGGTTTGCATCTGTACAATAAGCTGGAGTGGGCTGATGGGACCCTCCAGGCACACGTGTAAATTACAGGAAGACAGCCAGCTGAAGGCCAGTGTGGACACCCAAACCCTGCTGTCCACAAACCACACCCACAACAGCCAACACCCTGACAATGGGATGCTGGAGCTGGCAGGACCGGGGCGGGGGTCCTGTCTTTCCCTGGGACACCATGGAGTGACAGGCCCAGGAGGACACCCTCCCCCCTCCTTCCAGTCTAGAGCACACCCCAGCATGTCCCTGTTTGGGCTGAGAGCTGCTCACCTAGAGGCCCACCAGTAGGACTTATGAAACTTACAGGGCCTGACCAAGAGCACAGAGCTGGTGAGTAAAAAAAGCTGGTGTAGGACACATGCCTCCTTAATGTTCTTTTGACTAAGCAGCCTCAGCTAAGCAGACACTTCTACCTGGATGTCAAGCTCTCATTTCCAACTCAAGATGTCTAAAAACGAATTAATTATCTTCCTAAAAAATAGGCCACACTTCCTGATTTCTCTATTTCTATCAAAGGTACTTTTCACTCATAACAACTGGGCCAACTCTCGCACATGTTCTGAGCCCTGAAAAGTAAAACAGACACATGGCTGAGGCAAGAGCCAGCCATCGGCCTCCAAACCACCCTTAGCTCTCCACAGCTAACAAACACACCCAGGGCCAATCACAAATGGCAGGATGCTAGTTACAAAGTACGCCAGCATTTGCCAATTTTAAGGGGTACATTTCAGCTGATTCTAAGTCAGAGTTCCCTCCCAGTAGAATCTATTCTTACACTTACATAGAATGCAAGAACCTTTTCCTGGAAGAACATTTCCGTTTCCATCTCCTCTCTGCTCCAAGTTAATTTTCAGAACAAAAAGGTTTAAAGATGAGAATCAGATATGTGGATTAGGACCACCCTCCCTTTTCCAAAGGCCAATTCTGATTCAGGAGGCCATGTGCAGTGGTCATCTCAGCCTGGACTGAAGCCTGCAGTCCACACTGGTTACTGCTTCCTGCATGGTCTCAGCTGCCCTCCCAGCACTGGTTTGAGGACCAAGTCAGCCTCACCAGCTATCATTTTAACCAAAATTTTAGTCTTCCATAAACATGGAAAGACATGACACTGGGCTCTTCTAACTTCACTACCTGGGGAGGGCCCAGTCAGGTCAATACAAGAGGTGCCTAGCTCCTTCCCTTTCCACCACTCAGCACTCTGGTTTTATTGGCATTTTGTAAATATCTTCCCATTATCACCCTTTACCTGGTTGTCTAAAGCTTTGGATCTGCCACACCAATTTTTACAGCCACAGTAACAAGGTTATACTGAAAGAAACACATCCAAACCACCCCCCAGGTGAGCCTCATGATAAGTGTTGAGTACTTTGCAGAGACAACTGATCACAACGTGTTCCCACTTGATGTACCAATGTAATTTGCTTCGGGAAAAAGCAGCCTACAAAATTAGGTTCACATTCAGTTCATTCAGTCTCTGCACCCAAAACATTCAAAGTCTTGTGGGAAAGTAAACATGAGCAATTGAACCATCCATACAGATAAATGAAATCATGTTTGAGAAAGGGAAGAACATTATCCCAACTAAGCTAAAAACAGCTGCTGCAATTAAGAACTAAATTTCACTCCAAGCCATCTGGGGAAACCCAAGCTTTAAGACTCATCTTTGGCTGGGGTGGGGGGGAAATACACAAGTATATCAGCAAAGACAGACAAGGTCCTCAGCTAACTTAAAGACAGACCTTTATAAGGAGGGGAATGAACAAAAATGTATATATAAATATTACCAACAACAATTTCACTTGCTGAGAAATATGATTTAAGTGACTGGTTATCACATGAATAGTTTTTATGTATTTCCTGTATTTCATGGTTAAGAATCAGGACTTTCTGGTCAAAAACAGCATTAGATTTAAATCCCAGCTCCTGCCTTTATTAGCCATATAGATAAGTTACTTCTCCTTTGCAAGCCTCATTTGCCTCCAATGTACAACTGGGGTTTTGATATATCCTGAATAGTATCTCTTTTAGGGTCAAGAAAGTGGCACATTTCTTGGCAGAGTAATAAACTGAAGAGCCCCAGTCATACTGACTTGAGATGAAGCCCTTCTGGGATGGTGAATTTTATGTATCAACTTGATAGGGTGCCCAGATATTTGGTTGGACATTATTCTGGGTGTTAAACTATGAGGGTGTTTCAGAATGAGATCAACATTGAGTCGGTAGACTGAGTAAAGCAGATTGTCTGCCCCAACGTGGGTGGGCCTCAGCCAATCTGTTGGAGGCCTGGACAGAACAAAAAAGCAGAAGAAGGGAGAATTCCTTCTCTCTGCCTGACTGCTCGAGCTGGGACCTCGTTCTCTCTTGTCTTTGGACTCAGACTCTGCCCGGAGCTTATACCATTGGCTCTCCTGGATCTCTAGCTTGCCAACTGCAGACTGCAGGACTTCTCAGCCTCCATAGTCAGGTGAGCCAACTCCTTACAATAAATCTCTTTCTATATATAGGTCTATATTTTGGTTATGTTTCTTTGTAGAACCCAGACTAATATACCTTGCATTTTTTTCTCTTCAGTACCAAAGTCCCAGGCACACCGCTGTAGGCTGATTATTATTCTGGACAAAGAAATGTACCAAAATGTAATTCTGCAGGACTTCCAAAGCAGTGCTACTCAAAGTGTGGCTTATGGACCACTGCCAGCCAAACAGTTTGTTGCTGGTCTGCAATGAGATATGGATGGGAATTAAAAGAAAGCATTGACATGTTTATAGCAATTTATTGTATTGTCCCAACATCTAAGCATGTGACCGACTGACTTGATTTTTTTTATCTTTCTTTTTCTATTTTGCCAGTAACTCGTTCTTACTGTATTTCAGAAAAGTATCAGTCTGCCAAGAACCTTAAAAAAGAAAGAAAACTAATCCTTCACAAATAGTTTGAGAAGTATTGCTGTGAATACTTTATTTAAATTGCATAGGTTTCTGGTAATGGATCACTGAGAAAGAGGAAGAAAGACATCTTGAGGATTGCATGGCAACGTGTCTCTGAAATTTCTTCAAAGAACTTAGATTTTTTAAAGCCCTAGGCAGACTTTGGAAAGGAGGAGCAAGACCTCAGTTGAAATTTGGGCTCTCTGTGGAGCATCTGTAGTCTGTATGCAATCTGTTGCAGACTTCCCAGTGGCTCCTGTCTTCTAATCACCAGACATACAAGGGGAAACATTGAGCCAACCAACCCGGTTAGGGTCCTTGATAGATTCCCCCAAAATACCAGTGAAGGAACACAAAAACGATATTCCCCATAGCACCAATGCCAGGGTATGGAGGAAGCTTCTATTAAGTCAGCAATTAGATTTAGAATGACAAATAGTCAATGGCATACCCACACTTTGAATTCAGAGACTAAATAATAGAGTCAAATAGTAAGTGGATAAGAAGAGATCTATATCTACTCAAATTCTCTTCCACTTCAGATATTCAGGGATGACCAACCATGACAGCAGGCAATCACTGTTTAGACTATGCTGGAATTGTTTTTTAAAAGCATCTTTTTAAAAGCAATGTCAAACTGCCCTGTCCTTAGCACCCTTGTGAAGCAGCAAACCCCTTCCTCCAGCTCTTCAGGGACCATACCTCCCAGTATGCAATGTAGCTAGGAATGGAAGGGTCTGAATGCACATGAAGATGTGAAATTTACCCCCAAGCAAGGGTGTCAGTGAGAAGGACTCTACAAGCAATGACCTATGGGGATTATGGTTTTTTCAGTTATTATTTTCAACTAA